ATAGAGGGTGTCCATTATGTGTCCTCAGTTCACAAAGCATTATCTGCTTCATACACTGAGTAAAAGAATGAACAGTCCTTCACTCTTTCTCATGTAACTTCTGTTCACATATAAAATAAAATCCTGACCAGTGTGCTGGTGCATGCCTTTGGTCCCTGGAGAAGCAGGAAGGCAGGGGTGAGGAGGGTGGGGTGGGGAGATGGGTGGGGCCATCCTGGTCTACAGAACAAGGAGGCCAGCCAAGGATACATAGTGATGCCTTGTCTCAAAAAGAAAAACAAAAATTGAAACAGCCTTGTGTGGTGCGGCTGGGGAGGTGGCGCAGAGGTTAAGAACACTGCTTGTTCTTCCAGAGGTCCTGAATTCAAGTCCCAGCAACCATATGGTGGCTCACAACCATCCATAGTGAGACCTGGTGCCTTCTTCTTGCATGCATTATGTATGTATATACATATATACATACATACATACATACATACATACACACACACACACACATAATAAAATAAATAAATCTTTGCAAGGCAGTTTTGGTGCATGCCTTTAATTCCAGCACTCGGGAGGCAGAGGCAGGCATATCTCTGTGAGTTCAAGGACAGCCTGGTCTACAAAGTGAGTTCTAGGACAGCTAGGACTGTTATACAGAGAAACACTGTCTCAAAAAAAAAAAAAAAAAAAAAAAAAAAAAAAAAGTCTTGCATTACTGAGGCCCACCCCCTGCACATCCCTGTTTGGGTTCAAACAGTCCTGATACAATCCAAGCCTGGCCCTGGAGCACACACACCACACACACCTTCGGGTCTCAGCCTCCCTGGAGAGGCCTTCCCTGACCAGGCTGCCCAAAGTCATTCTGCCCACACTTCTGCTGGTTTCCTTCCTAGTCAGCAAGCCTAGCTGAACTAGCTTCTTATGTATTGCTTACTGCCCATCTCCTCCCCAGGAGAACATAAGTTCCCTTATAGCAAGGACCTTCACCTTCTGGTCCAATGGTATAGATAGCATCATGTTAGTACAGAGCCTGGCATATGGTTAATACTTAATAACAAAAACATATAGTTAGGTAGAAAACACCATACTAGATAGCAAAATAAAATATCAGTGCAAAAAGAAGTCGTTCCTATTCTTTGTTTTATAGGGGTTAGTTGAGTCTGAATTTTTTGCTTGCTTGTTTTGGTTTAGTTTTGGGTTTCTTGAGACAGGGTCACACTATATAGTCCTAGCTGGCCTGGAACTCACTGTGTAAACCTGGCTGGACTTCAACTGGCTACAATCCTATGGTGGGAGTTTCTCTGTATTCCTTTGGAACTCGCTCGGTAGACCAGGCTGGCCTCGAGAGATCCTCCTGCCTCTGCCTCCCGAGTGCTGGGATTAAAGGCGTGCACCACCAACGCCCGCCCAGCCGTGCTTCTATTCTTAATTAGTGACCTTCCACAATAAACTGATCTCATCTGAATATTTTTAAAGATTAAAACATACAATATCAAAATCTTTAAAGAAGTAATAGCAGTATGTTGGGGCTTACACGTTACCAGGGTGACCACATTCTTCTTATTTAATGCATAATTTGTGGGAACTAATTAAGCTATAATTCAATAAAACGGTATCAAAGAGACTGCAAGTCTTAATTATCTTCTCAGGGCACATATTTCTTATAGACAGAAAAACTTTAATATCTTTCTGTTCATAATGTACATAAAAATTTACAACAATAGGTGTCATCAGCTCAACTCACCATGTATTTCCTGGCCTCAGATTAATATACCAGTTTCATTCAGGCCAAGTAGTGCTCAAATTCCAATTACTAATCAAGTTCATTCACAAAGGCCATCACTCAGGCCGTGATTCACCCACACCCCAATGACCTCTATGAAAGACCATGTCCAGCTGAGTTGACAGAGTGTTACCTTGCATTGTTACCAGAGTGCTCTTAGGTCTAACTCAGAACCACGCAGAAAACATCATTTGTTAGAATCTTAGTAGCTATGACCCTATCATTATGACATCACTAAGCAGCTGGTAACTGATGTCTCGATTATAAAGATGCAAATTTAAAGCCAAGGCAATGAACAAGTGGCATCCTGCAAGTGTTAACAGTAACATTTTTAGCATGTTTTAAAAGTATAATATCCTACCCCAAAATATTTCAAGGATTGGCTATATTAAGTTTTAAAATATGACTTAGAAAACTGGGAATGGTGACTCATAACCGTAATCTCAGAACTTGGAAGGCAGAAACAAAAGGGCTGCTGTACGTTTGAGACCAACCTGGGCTACGTATTTAGACCCTGCCTCAAACAAACAAAACTATGTGTGACCTATTTTTAAAAAAACATGTCCATTGCAACTGGAAGTCTTCAAAATATCACTGCATAATTCTAGATTTCAAAAGCATAGAGGAGACATATCCATCTTTCAACCAACTCTGATGGCACTATACTTTCTGAAAAAGAATGATTCAAATACATCCAAGTGCACAAAGAACACACCAATTCTATTTTAATGTAGCCTTCTAGCTATATTTAAGTGTAGGACGAGGACTTTATGTGATCTTGCATGGAAATGCAAGGTAGTTTTCATTTTAGTTTTTTGAGAACAGTGTTAACCATAAACCTGGAAACTAAATAAAGGCAAAACACAATGAAACCCTAAAGGATAAACAAATGCTTCTATTTTCTAAAGGATGCATACTGTTTGCATACTGTTCCCATTTGTTACTGCACTAAATGCAGCAGCAGCAGCAGCTTCCAAATCTCCACTGTAGAAAGCTTTCCCATTAGTGAATTACCTATTGTAGAATCCAGTTTCAGAACATCCAGAATTTACTTCTGGCATACAGTGATAGACCCTTTTTAATATCAGAAAATTATTTACTGTCTCACAACCAAGCAGATTGCTAATCAACTCCATCAGAAGACTGGCCTGGCAGATGTCACAAGCCTGTGATCTCCCAGCACTTTGGACTTCTTGACAGGATCAGTAGCTCAAGGCCAGCCTTGGCTTCATTGCAACTCTGTGCTAAAGGCCAGCCTGGACTACATGAGATCCTCTCTCAGAAAAGAAAAAACTGACTTTTGTTTGTTATCTTCATATAGGCCCTAAAACTGCTCAAATTGGCCCAAAGTTGTATTCCAAGACACAACACTTTCTCCACATTCTTAGGACAAAAGAAGCTTTCCACAAGAACTAGGCCTTAAGATATCTTGACTCTCACTGGGATCACTTGCTAGGAATACCACACTTGTTTATCTAAAGAATAACTTTTAAAAATTCATTTTAAATAAGTATTTACATTGGCTCAAGGGGAAAATAATTACATCACCACTGCTCTAAAAAAATAATCCATTCTCAGTATATATCTGAAATTTTTCGCTATTTCAATGGAAAGAAATGTTGTGATTTATGGCTTATTGCTGTCAACACTAAGAAAGCACTGTTTTAGAAGGCTATATACTGTCCAAATCCCTTAAATCTGAGTACTATTTTAAAGTATTTTCTTTCTCTGTATTCTACAAATAGCAAATGTCTAAACCCTGCAGTGGAACAGCAGTCTCTCAGTTATTTAACTTCTAAGTCTAGGGTGCTTTCTTGGTAGAAAACAAGGGAAATGGATACAATGCTTCTGAGATACACATCCAACACAGGCCATTACCACAAAGAAGATTTTCGAGGTTAGGTTACAAAGACATCACAGATGGCTTTTGACACATATGAATAAATGGAAACCACTCTATCTGGCCCCCAGGGATGATGAGTATCTTCTCCATGCTAAAGCCACTTAGAGCCAGGACCTTCAACAACTGGGTAAGCATCAGAAACCTCTGAACTGCTCTCTCCTCTTGAAGACAAACAGTAAATATTTAGAAAGTAATTCCATGCCTATATTTTTACTACATTCACAGCTAATCTCCATTACTTCTAAAACTATTATGGGTTAAAATGTAAGATAATTTCAAACCTGATATATATGTATATATGTATGTATACCACACATATCACAAACTTGTAAACCAGTGGTTCTCAACCTGTGGATCGCGACCCCTTTAGGGGTCATGTGTCAGATATCCTGTGTATCAAATCTCTACATTACGATTCATGACAGTAGCAAAATTACACTTACGAAGCAGCAACGAAAATAATTTTATGTTTGGGGTGACCATAACACGAGGAACTATATCAAAGGGTCACAGCATTAGCAAGACTGAGAACCACCTACGGTTTAGAACTAAACTATCACAGAATTGCACTGTTCGAAATTTCAATAGCAATAGGACTGTCTGGGATCTTCTAAAAAGCTGAGACTATCACTAGAGGACCCCCATCAAATGTGTCCAGAGCTTTGAAAAATGTACACAAATGTCTCTGAGTTACACAAATCGAGTTCAAACACTTCGTAGAACAGGCTTACTACGGAGGGGAAACCAAAACCATCTGAGTTTGCTGGAGAAATTCTGCATACAGGTATGTGGCCTTTGGGGGGTTGTGTATCCTTGAAAGCGGTTCCAAGTCAGTTAAGATGAGAGTGCCCTTAAGGACTGTCATCGTTAGATAACTTGTCATGGTCAAGCCAAGCCTTTTCTATTCCAAAAATCTGGTGGCTCCCACACAACTTGTGGGTGATACGGGCACTGCAGCGGTTGTCCGGCTCTAACAGCCCCCTCCACCCACGCAAAGCCGCAACCCCCAATTTCCCCTGAGCCCCGCAGCTCAGAGGTAGCTGCGCTCTGATGGGACCCAGGAGGTGGCAGGCAGCCGCCACCGGGGTTGCTGACCGCCACCACGTCCCCAGCAGCGTCCCTGGGCGACACCGCAGCGACCTTCCCGCCCGCGTCCCGCGTGGGCCAGCCACGCACCTCACGACAGACAACAAAGCCCGGCCCGGCCCGGCCCGGCCCGGCCCGGCCGGGCGGCCCAGGAGGGTCGAGCTGTCACCCTGCGGGGGTCGCAGGCCTGAGGGCCAGGGCCGCGGCGCCGCCACCCTACCCGCCCGCCGACCCCCTTACCCGCAGGGAAGCCGCGGGCCCCGCCGGGGCTGTCCCGGCCGCCAGCCTCCGGGGCCAGGAAACGGCCCCACATAGCGGGCGAGCGGGCGAGCCGGGGGCTCGGGGCCCGCGGTCGCCCGGGCTTCTGGGCGGAAACTTGAGCGGAGCCTGGGCCGCGGCGGCGCGGGCCGGAGCCGGGCGGGCGGCGTAACGGCTGCTCAGCGGCGGCCCGGGAGCTCGGCGCCTGCCATGGCCCAGCCGGCTTGCGCTGGGGGCCCGGGCCAGGGAAGGAGCGAGCGGCTCCCCGGGGACGGCTGCGCCCAGGCTCCGGCGCTCCGGGCGAATGTGCAGCTGCGGTTCCTCTCGGCACCCTCCGCCCCACAGGAACCCCAGCCGGGCGGGCCTGGCCGCGCGGGGGCGGGGCCTGGGGCCTGGGCGGGGCCTGGGGCCTGGGCGGGGCCTGGAGGGCCTGGGGCCTGGGCGGGGCCTGGAGGGCCTGGGCGGGGCCTGGGGGCCCGGGGGCGGGGCCGGGGACGGTCATCTCTGAGGCCGCTCCGCTACCTCCCTACTTCTGCATCCTGTTACCTGCAAGCCCAGAGAGGGGCCATAACTTGGCCCCAAACCCTGTCTTCTTATACACGCCTTCTGGGGCACGGTTATAAAAGGTACGAGTAGTCCCTGGAACCATCGCTGCTAGCTAAAAAAAAAAAAAAAAAAAAAAAAAAAAAAAAAGAGGTCAAATGCGGATGAGCGACTCAGAATGGAGATCTGATTTTAAATTGTCACCACGCACTCCAAGAGCACCGTCTATGGGTCATGGTTGGAATGGAAAAGAGGTCGTCCCTGCCTCCCACATCTTGGAGCCCTGCTCCACTTTAGTGCAACCCCTTCTGAGGAACAGACCTCCTGAGAAAAGACAAAGGGGCGAAGAAGCATCCACTTCAAATCCTTCTTGCAGTATTTAGATACAGAATAAACACTGATCAACCGCTATAGCAGGAGGCAGGCTCTGTGCTCAGCATATCAATAAAGAAAAGCAGAACCCAAGTACCTTAGGCTTCGAATCCAGTGCTGTTTTTCCTACTGAGGAAGTTAACAAAAAGCCTCATATTTACATACTTTCTCAAAAAAATATTATTTAAAACTCGTGAAGTTTAAATTTGGAAGCATATTCTATCACTCACATTTGTTGAAATGTATCAGACTGTGGTTGTACATCTAGTCCCCTTCCTGCAGACTCGTAGTTATTTCTCCAAATCCTGAAATGTTGGTCAAGTGTCCACTGATTGTGATGCTAGAATGTGACAGAAATATGCAAAGATAATGAGATGGTTCTTTTCTGAATTAAATATGTAACATTAATTATGACCCTTGAAAAGGATGGGGTTAAAAATATTTATTAGAAGTTCCACAGAGAAAATTATCAAAACCAGGCATGGTAGCACGCCTTTAATCCCAGTGCTCTGGGGTCAGAGGCAGGTGGATCTCTATGAGTGAGGCCAGCCTGGTCTACAAAGCAAGTTCCAGCTAGGGATGTTACACAGAGAAACCTTGCCTTGAACCCTTCCCCCCAAAAAGAAGAAAAAAAAATATCAAAAGTAAAATTAATATAAATACTCTATTCACTTATACATTTTTCATGATTCGTAGTTTAACAGAGAGCCAAAATTGGCTGGAAACTTGAAGTGTCCTCAAACTCCTGATTCTCCTGCTTCAGCCTCCCTTGTGCTTTCTAATAAGGAAAGGAGGGAGGGAGGGAGGGAGGGAGGGAAAGAAAGAGAAAAGAAAAGAGGAAGGGAGGGCAGGAATTAAAGGTGTGCACCAATATCGCCTGCCCAGTTCAGGGATTCTTAAAATTAAACTCTAAACCCCTTCTGTCCAAGAAATTTTTACACAACCCTGGATCATTCAAGAAATTTTACACAACCCCGAATGTATAGATATATAAAATATGTGTTCAAGTCAAATGTTTGCAATATCATAATTTTATTTTTTAAAAAATCCTTTGGTACTCATTCAATTTTACCATTTATTAAAGATGAAAATAATTTTGTGTGCTAATGAGATAGATGCAATTGTTTATTTTTATATAAATGATTAACTTTTGGCCAAACATAGTAGTGCATACATGTAAACCCAGTATTTGATGGAAACCAATGGATCAGGAGCCCCTGGATTACAACGTAAGAGTTTAAGACTAGCCTGAACTACACAAAGAAGCCATATGTAGGGAAGAAAAAAAAATAAAAGGAAAAGGAAGGAAGGAATGAGGAATGGAAAGAAAAGAAGATGTAGGTAGATACTAAAAATAAATTTAATACCAAAATAAGACTCTTGGCTTAAAACAAATTTTTAAAGACATTATTGACTGGATCTGTTAGGGGTTGGGGGAAGAGTGGGAGATGAATATAATCAAAATACATTGTATGAAATTCTCAAAGAATTAATAAAAATATTTTGTAGAGACATTATTTGGGATGTACAGATGGCTCAGCAGTTAAGAGCACTTGCTGTTCTTCCAGAGAACCTGGGTTCAGTTCCCAGCACCTACCTGGGGCAGCTCATAATCACTAATAACTCTAGCTCTGATGTCCTCTTCCTACCTCTGCACACATGGGGTACACATACATACACTCCAACATACACACATGGACATCAAATACTAAATAGGCTTTTAAATGAAAAGTAAATGCTACATTTTAAATTTGATAAGAATCCACTCAATTGTCCAACTTACCAACTTGGACAAGCAACAAGAAGGCTAAAGAAGGATATAATAATGAATAAAGGGGGTCTTTAATATTAGGATAAAATCTCATAATTTAGGAAACAGTGATAGTTTTTATTTACAGAGCTATATAGTCTGTTAAAACAAGATGGATAATATATAAGAAAAACTCCCAACAACAAAGTAATAATAATTGAAAGAGTTCCACAAAAGAAATTACCAATAGATAGAAACCGATGTATGGATCAAGTCTAAAATCACTATAACGAGAAAATTCTAGTGTGTCAAGGACAAATTAATAACTACAATGTGTAAACTTTCCCAAACAAGAAAAATGACAGATTATTCAATTTCGTATGGGTTGTTATGACTCAAATGATCCTTTATAACAATTAAAATTAAGAACACTTTTGCAAGCTGGATTTAAAACTCATTTTGGGTTCCTGGTACACGGAATGCATTAATCCAACAGCATAGAGAAGATGAGTGGGCTGCTTACCCAATTGAGCCTCAATCCCCTCACCTCTGATCTGGGATTGTAACAGTGACGACCTCGAAGATTCACTGTAGAGATCTAATTGCTTAATATTTTGAAAACTGCATGTGTGATCTACACTTGAAATAAAAGCATACACTATAGATATAAAACTGTTATGTCTCACTGAGGAAAAAAAGTAGCACTAATTGTTGTAGTCCGGAGAGGTTGTGAATCCTATTCTATGTACGCGTAGCCGAGTGGAGTAAGCAACTGTTTGCAGTCTTTTCCTGGCCATTTGTGGTTACTAATTAGCTCAGGAATTATGGTGAAGGATTATTGAGAAATACTTAGCAAACTCTCCAGGGCCAGGTTAATGGCAGCTTTCCTGGAGGCTGTGCTTCCCTGAGCTCCCTGTGTGGATATCTCCTACCTGCACTACCAAAATAGAGGATGGAACGTTGGGAAAGGTGGCTGCACAGTATGGCCACCCGAAAGAGCCAGCATTCCTCATTTCAGGAGTGAGGAAGTACAGAAATGAATTCTATCTCGACTTTTGCCTTGAAGTTGGACCGTGGTATCCACAGACAGAGCAGGTGAACTGCAGAGCATGAGCCAAGTGCTCGGGCTACTGAAGGGCACACAGGAAGGGCTCAGCCAGCAGATAGTCTTCAAGGGACATCAATGTTTACTGGAACTGTTTGTCCTGGTGCCTTGGTCCCAGGAACCTGTAGTCACCAACTCATGTTACTGAGCTTATGAAAAGCAGAAAGATCGCTTACAATAGAAAAAAGAAAGACAACAGCCTTGATGGTTCATGAAGAGCCAAACTCTCCCTTCCCTCCTTCCTTTTTAGATAATGGAGGATACACAGAATAGATAAAATTCCATACATAATATGTACACATATATGCATATATATATACACTCATACACACACTAGACATATACTACATACATATGCACATACTGCACACATACACACATTATACATATACAGACATTGCCCACACACTACACACACCACATACACTACACGCACACACACACACACCCTCTGAGCTGATCTGCACTAGTTCTCAAGGGAATTATTTAACAACTCAAAATGTCCAAAACCTTATAGAATTAGGTCAAAATGTTCCGAGTGGCAAATGGGTTTATCTCCTGATTATGGTTACTAGCATTTACTGAAAGAAAAAAAAACTTTAATTATAAATTTCAGTGCTTTGAGACATTTCAGTAATGCAGCTATAGACTTCATATGCTCTTTAAAATAATCCGTCGTGAGGAGCTAGTATAAGCTCCATTTAACAGATTAGGGGAAAGCCCCAGAGATGCTAGGAGTGGCCGAATAGAATCAAAGAGCTAGCTTTCACATCTGATCTACGTGACTCCAAGGACCATGCTTTTCCCACCATTCTCTTTAAGATGTAAACAGAAATTAGAAGATTATTCTTCAGATGTCATGAGAGAAGAAAGGACCTAATTATAGGAACCCTGTGTACTGTGTACAGTTATGCAAAGATCCCCAGCAGTGACATTAGTCTGTGGTACTGTGTAAGGATAGTGGAGACAGGGGTTAGACAGAAGCTGGGTTTTGCAGTGTGAGCACTTAGGAAACATATCCAAGAACACTGGCTGGAGAATGAAGTAGTGGGTTGCTGAGTTTGGGGCGGGAATAGGGAGCGGAAGTTTTTCAAAGAACAAATCCAGCGAGGGTGAGGGACTACAAACTCTGAAGACGTGAATGAGGGCAAAAGAGAGGAGAGTTGCAAGTTTTCAGAAGTAGAAGAATTAATCAGTGAGTGGAAGTTGTGTCTCTCTGATTTCCTTCAGCAAAGACCTTGATGTCCCAGGAGAGCAGTTGGCTAACAGCCTGCAGCTCCTGCCACCCGTGGGATGCACGCCAGCTTCTGAGTAGAGGCTGTGAAATTCTGGGGTATTTCCACTGACCACGGAACACAGTGAAGGACCCCACTCTTTCCGATGGACAGCCCCAGTGACCAGTTTGTTTCTGCCTCTATTGGGTGGACCGAACCCTTTTCAGCCCTGGTCTTCAGTCTGACCCTGTGTTTCTCAGCCCTGCTTCCTGTCACTGACACCTTCCGTGGGTCATA